TATAAGTTATTTATGGAATTAAGACTTGTGATGAGTCTAATTTCTATATTATATTACATGAGTACATGAATACAAGTATGTTATTGATATGATGTTTATGTGTATATGAGTATATGCATATGTCTAGATGTTAAGGGCACTTCTGTACATGATTTATGTGAAGGCATGTTTGTATGATAAACTATGTGAACTGATATACTTGAGTTATGTGATTAAAAGGAAAATGAGATAAGTTATGTGACTATAAGAAAATTTAACATGAGCTATGAGATAATAAGTATGCGATTACATGTTATGTGAGATGATCTTATGTGATATTCTATATATGACAATGAGCTATGAGAATATACGAGAATGTTATATGATCTATGTGATAATAAGTTATGAGACTACATGTGAAATGATATAAGTTATGTGATGATTTGTGTGACTATGTGAATATGACAAATATAAATGATAATACCCATGTTATGTGATATGAGAGCTAAGGGTATAGTTGGCATGCCAAGAATCGAGGGTTATACGTGGTCCTTCGGGACATATATGTGATCCTTTGGAATATATATGCGGTCCTTCGGGACATATATTTGGTTCTTTGGAATGTATATGTGGTCCTTAGGGACAATTCTATGTGGTCCTTCGGGACATTTATACGTGGTCCTTCGGGATATTTCTACGTGGTCCTTCAGGAAAATTTTACAAGGTCCTTCGAGACAATTCTACGAGGTCCTTCGAGACAATTTTATATGGCACTTAGTGCAAATTATATGAGCTGTGGTGACAACATTTGTGCACAACCTCAATGTACGCACATATCTTTAGTTCTCAGAAGTGTATATGGGCTAATAAAGAGAAAAACAAATAAATTATATGTGATGTATATGCTTTGTTATGTGAAATGTATTAGAGGATTTATGTGATGTTGTGTGTATTGATTGGTTAAACGTGTTATATGATGGTTACGAATGTTAGGCATAAAAGTATATGATTATAAGGACTAATAATAAGAATGTTAATCATGATAATGATGGTATATGTGCATATAAGCATTTTGTTATATAAAATGTACATGCATTGTTAAGTAGTTAGAGTTTCCATTATTCGTTTACATGTCTCACTAAGTCTGTGACTTAGCGTGTAAGTGTTTCACACGTAGGATCCAAGAAATCTAAAAAGCAAGGATAGGCGGCAGAGATAACTTAACATCATCAGAGATCATATCAGAAGCAATTTTAACAGTGGGTTCTTTTGTTATAGTAAATAATGTTGGCATGTACCTAAAAGTTTAAATTGCATATGCTCTGATAAGCTTTTGTAAACTTTTTGATTTAATATATGTAAATTATTTAGTTTATTTAAATTTAAGTATGAAATCCTTCTCTATTTTATATAAGTAAATGATTTGAAATGTTAATGTGACACCTCAGACTTGTATCTTGGTCGGGTACGGGTTGGGTGTTACAGGTTCACAGCAGAATATGGGTCAGGTTTTGTTCACAATTTGACAGTGAGTCTATCGGTGGTGTCGGAGTGTCGAACGGTGGCCGGATGGCGACAGTTTGAGGCGGTAAAGGTGGCTAACGGAGAAAATGAATTTGGGGTTTGATTTGGAGGAAAAAAATCAGATTGCTCGAGGGTTAAAATTCGACACCTTAAAATTAATAACTTCTAGCTCCTAAATTGGGGTGTAACGCTATTAGTATGTGTAATTATAAGATATTATTTGTTTATAATTTTTTTAACTATTGATAACATACAAATCCTATACACGTAATTATTCAAACTTATGACCTAAAAAAAGAACAACATTTCTTCTAATCTCGGTTGCCATTCAATTGTTTCTAATATAGAGACTATCATAATGCTTTTAACTTGTATATTATGATATAATCAAACGATAAAAATGCTTCTATCATAATAAAACAAAAGAAGTTGGTTTCTCTCCATTTATCACATGTAACATCAAACATTTATTTGTATATTATTATATGCGACATCCAGCATTTATTGCATGTGCCATCAATCCAATCTTTTTGATACAAAAGATTTTTAAGGAAAAATAACAATTGTGCCGTTAAACTCTTAGCATAACTTAGTAATTATGTGCAAAATCCTTTGTTTTACTATATTAAGAATCATTTAACTATATTAAAAATAAGAATTTTAAAAAATAAGATACATAATATAATTCTCAATTCCTTTTAAAAATATTTTGTTTTACAGTAAGTACATAAAATAATGATGAAATGTAAAGAAACTAACGATTGAGATCAATAAGGATGCAAGGTAGGGACGATGAGCATATGGAAAAAATGAGAAAGAAAAGGCCAACAAGCATGTGCAACCAAAGACAAACAGTCCTGTTAGTTATCAAAGCATGTCCATTTGTCTTGCTAACAACGTAGGACCTCTATTCATGGATGTAATCTCATTTTTTTAATTTCCACAATTTAATTTATATGAGGAAAATAATAAAAATATATTATAATATAAATGATTAGCTATTAAAACTTGTGTTTAATATTTAAGGAAAATTGTGTTGAGAAGTAAATATTTAGATGGGTTTGGTGGAGCCAAATGGTATGGTGGCCACTAATTCATGCGTTGGATATAAAGTGCCCTTTGTCCATTGATGAGTTAAAACTTGAGATTCGGATTTCCTTTCTCATTGATTGGAGGTTGAAGATGAAGATAAACAAGATAACTATGTCTTTTCTTCTTCTCATCCTATTTCATGTCTAAACTCATCTCAAACTCTTTGTTTAATAATACTTTAACCTCAACAATAATTCAAAAAAGTACTCAATTGTGCCCTAGCTCCAAAATTTATATTGTCACAGTGTTTAATAGTTAAATACTGAAGATAGTTATTTAGTGTATATTAGTTTTTAAAACTCCTTTTAATTCATAATTTTAACTTAGTAAATATAGTTTTTATATTACTTTGAACATTTGGGTAAACTACAATATTATTACAGAATTTACAAAACTGGTACCCTTTAACCTATCCCTTAGGTGGCGTTTGGTTCGTTGGAATGTTTCTGATGGAATTGGAATATGTGAAGGAATTGGAATATGTCAGGAATTAGAATCTGAATCTGAAACCTGTTTGGTTGGCAGAAAATTGAATTGTAATCCAATTTCATATTCTGTTTGGTTCGCAGACATGTCAGATGAATTTGATTTCAGTAATGTAAAATGACATAATTGCCCTTCTTATTTTTTTTACTTTATTTTAGTTTGTTTTACAACTAACATGTAGCAATATATTATAAAAATTTAAAAAATATTAAATTTTTATTTTATTAATTGATTATTCATTTTAATAAAGTATAAAAACCATGCTAATAAACATCATAAGTTAAAATTATCGTAATTAGGGATGGTCATGGGTCGGGTTGGGTCAGGTTTTTGGTCCACTCGACTCGACCTGAGAACAAGGGAACCTCCACCCGACCCGACACGAAATAATAAAAAAATTATTTTTATTCAATAAAAATAATAACTTAATTGAAAAAAATTATATATAGAGGGGTATTATTGTAATTATTCCTAAACCTTAAATCCTAAACTCTAAACCCTAAACCCAACCTGAACCCGACCCGAATATCACACTTAAAAAAACCTACCCGACCCATCCCGAACCCAATTTTTTTTTTAAAAAAACCGACCTGATCCTGATTTAAAAAAAAAACCCGACCCGACCCGAACCCGATTTTTTTAAAAAAAAATTCCGACCCGATCCCGATTTTTTTTTTAAAAAATCCGACCTGAATACCAAAATATTGATGATGGTAGTATAGTCAAATTTCACATTACCTCCTCCAAAGAATTTTAATTCCATCATTTTATGGATGTAATTTACTTTCCCTCATTTGATGGAATTGGATTCCGATTCTCCCTTTGAAAACTTAATCAAATATGAGAAAGTGATGGAATTGGATTCTAATTCCTCCTAATTTCAAGGAATTCCAACGAATCAAACGTCACCTTATAATATTTCTAATATGATAAAACAAAGCCTGGAAATCTGTCGACAACTCTCTATGATGTTTTCTATTTCTTTCTTGCCAGGGAACGTAAATATATGCTAATGTCATTATAGTTTATTAAAGGGACATCCTTTTGTCATATCTAAATTCTCAGTTGATCACAAGGGCGGATATATAAAATTCCTCGGTAGTAACAGCATATTCGTTTTCATGAAAGCTGTCAAATCGAATTTAGTATATAAAGAAAAAATATTTATATGTACTCATTTTGGAAAAAAAAGAAGGGTTAAAATTAAAATTAAAATTAAAATTAAAATGAATTATTAAATGAAAGTCTTGATCTTTATTGATTCATAATATGAATGGATGATTTTTTTACTTTAAATCTCATTTTTTTTATTTTCTTGATGTGTCGCATATTAATCACATCCTACCATAAACTGTGCTCAATATTACCTGCATCATTTTGCAAATGATAAGTTAATTTAAATAAAATTTTTAATAATATTGTATTAAATCTTCTAAGCATCATATTTTAAGGATTTTTGAGTTTGTAACTGATCAAATAAAAAAATTACACTATCATTTGAATATAAACACTAAAGGAGGTTTTGAATATTATTTTTCTGAAAAAGCAATTTGTTTCCAATAGCATTTCTTGATAGCATTTGAGCAGCCGAACAAGCAAGAGAGAAATTATCCAAAACGTTTTCTAACTTATCTATATTTCATAATAGATGATTTGAGTGAGACCAAAAATTCAACAAATTATACTTGACGGTCACTAAAATATAACAAAATAAAGCATGTGACAACATAAATTAAAAAATTAACTAACCCTATTCTCATATGTAATGAGATAAGAGGAACTAGGATAGTAGGTTATCCCTAACGTCAAGTTGAGAGCAACTTCCGTGAAAGGCCTCCGTTATGAATTGCCCTCAGTAGGACTCGATCCCACGACCACAAGATTAAGAACTTTGCGCTCTACCAACTGAGCATATGACAGCATGAAGTCTTTTATTTATCACATAACATGAAGAAGTCATTGATCCCCCCTATATATATATATATATATATGTATATTATTCTCATAGATATTAACTCAAAACCCATCCCCACAAATACCGAGTTTTACAAATCCCTCCCATTGATATTGTGGCTCATCATACCTCTAGAATAGGTCCACCACATTACATTTTAACATCTGCTGGCAGCTTCACTTCTATCCCATAGTTATAGGATACAAACCAAGTTTTATTTTGACCACAATTAGCCCCACAAACCAACAGCTCCATCCCAAGTAACCCTTTTTAAGGCACATTGACTCCCTTACAAATTTAGCATCTTAGTTATAACATTGGTTTTCCTCAATCTTCCTCCACAAATCTGGCTAAACCTGCAAAATTAACAGTAAGCTTCACTTTGGCTGACATGGCTCAACCATGTTCATAGCAGAATATCTACAGAACCAAATTCAAAAGCAACATAATCAGACCCTTGAGGTTTTCTTTAATGGAATAATTTAGTTCATACTCACTTGTTTAACAAGAAGTTCCCACTGGAAGCCAATGCCTCCCATGCTCCTTCAAAAACTCAACATTGACAATGCTTGAAGTTGGAGTTGAACTTGACAGCAAATGGAAGCAAGTACATTCACAGTATTCATTCTCAAGAACCTCAACAACAAAAACAAACACAGACAAAAATGTTATGTGAAAAGAAATTTAGCAACACTTACAATCAAACTACAGAACCGAGAGGCAGAAAATGAGGGAAGTTCCCACGTACCAGCTAAACTTCCATATTCTCACCCAAAATAACGACCTGTCCATGCTGATTGTCCTTGATACTGCTCAGGCAGTGAGGTAAACTGTTGGTTCCCATCCATGAGTTGTTGGTACAGTTTCTGTTCACGCTGAATTTTCAGTTGCTCAAGAATATTGTAGTCCTGCAAGCCTTTCTCCTTTTCCGTTTGAACCTGCACTGCAGGAACCTGCTTACCAGGGAAAGGAAAGCTTATCGTTCCAGTCAAGCCATTGCTTTTGCTATTGACAAACTGAGGATCAGCATGAGATGAATAGTAGAGGGAACTCTCAAGCCCAGAGCCTTTTAATAATGATGTCGACTGATGTCCATCCAACCACCTATAATCATCCATCGGAGGGTTCCCCAAATCTACAGCAGAAACAGATTCATTCAGTGGCTTTGTGGGAACAGGGCTAAAACCTGGTGGCGGACCAAGATGCCTAACAGGGCGGCTCACTGGATTCTTCTGCATCCCAACTAGTGAAGCGGAGGCAGTTCTAGCAGCCAAGGGATCACCGGTAACTCCAGATGACACAATGACATTAATTCTGGATGGCGTCACAGTTTCGGACATTTTTGTCTGACTGTAGTACATACCACTAGCACCAACATTGACAGGCTGCTGTATAGCATGTGGACGAGCAGCAGGATGAGAAAAGCCTAAAGTATCTTGGATCTCACTCTTTGTTACATGCCCGTTCTCCAACGTTGTCAAACCTTTCAAGCTATTAGCCAGAAAAGTAGTTTCTTCTGCTGACCACCTAGATCCATGCATCTGAACAGGTTGCAGATGCTGAGGGAGAATACCACCAACAGATACAGGCAGTGGATGACTAGCATCAAGCCTCTCATGTTGGCGAAGACTATCATAAGGAGCAGACATTGCACTGCCATAGAATTTGAGATCACTTACAGAACTACTTTGATTGAGCTTCAAAATCTCAGTGGGAGAATGATGTGGAACAATCACCTCAGTTTTCTTCTCACTCACAGCTGGCCGGAATACAATCACTTCATCATCATCATCCTCTTCCCCAGCCATTATAGGCTGTGGGATTGGCTGAACGTTTCCAATATTAATTATATTCTCAGAGGGGTTTTCATGCACCGCACTATTTGTTACCACTGGGGTAGGAGAGCTCAATGTACCATCTGCAAATGGCTCAACACCAATAAGAAATTTCTTAGCTTTCGAATCAAAACAAACAGCTTTCTGATCAACCCTAATGACATTAGCTAGAGCCTTCCCAGCTGCTAAAATTCTTTTGACACGGGCTTTCCTTTCTTTGTCGCCATCACTTACAAAGGAACGTTTCCTTGAGAAGTCCAAAATGGCATGTGCTGGAACAAGAGGCAAAAACCCTTGCAACTCAGAGTCCTCCCACAATGCAAGACGGTTCTCAGCTTTTCCTTCTTCATACTTACTCATATTGAAAAAGCAGGTCTCGTCTTCATTATTATCCATGCACATAGGCCTAATTGACAGAATTTTATTCAGCAATGCTATGCAATGTTTCCAGAAAAAAGATCTAGTAATCAACTGCTTCTCATCAGCATCATTACTAGCTGCAACATCAGGGCAAAATGCCAGCCATTCTACAAAAACCAGAATAGCAGGTAAAGTGTAGCTTGAAGAAACATCCCGGAGCTGTAAACATCTTTCTAGTACATGTCCCATCAACTCAAAAATGGCAGTGAAGGCATTCTGAAGTAGGGCAGCACGTTGTACAATTTCAGCATATGTTTGACCTTCACTCTCCCTCTTCAGATTGTGCACAGTAAATATGAGAATGGAAACCAGCCTAACAAAGAGAAGTGCATTCTCAGCAGGTCCAGTTCCAAAATTCAGCTCCTCTTCTGACCCAGACGAGAGAAGTTCACATAAATCACGGCTAATGTGAGTAAGAACATCTGCAAAAGTCTCCAGGCTGCACAGAGTAAACATTAATAAGGACACAACCCCAAAAAACCTCAGTCAATAACATAGGTGAACGAATTTCAGAGAAAATATACCTTGTGCGTGTAAAAAGAATGCCATTTAGACGGACAAATCGAACACAAAAGTACTTAAAAGTATCCTGGACACCAGATACTTTCTCCGTAGCAGGGCTTGCCTCTATGTTGCCATCTTTTTCTTTATATGAAAGTTTCGGTTCCACTTTCCCTCTACCTTTACCTGATTGCTGCACAGCAGGCTCCTTGAAGGGAGCTTTAACATCCCCAGGAAGCTGTAAGTAATTATGGCGATTCTGGAAACAAAAATTCATATATTAAATACAATTTCCACAATCATATACAATTTCAAATATTGGCATATAAATAATAAACCCACTCAAAATCAGCTTTCAAGTCGGCCACATTTTACATAGTATAATCACAATATTTACAATTGTATAAAAGCTGTGAATTCTCAGAGTTAGACTGCCATGTCAACAAACTAGCTGCATCCTCAAAGGAAACAAGATAAAAATGACACACATTGAACACATTTAAAAATCCTTTAAAATTCTATAATAGAAAGATTATGATAACTTTTCAAACATTATGCCATTCTGTGGTTAATTCCCAAAACCCAAAATAAAAACTATAATTTGCACTTATACCTTTTCAAATGCCACAATCAAGTTATCCCTTGCAGTTGAAAAGGGATTATCAACAGCTAAACTCCGGAAATACTGATAAACAGCCACCAGCTCATCTCCTGAGTATGAAGCTATTATAGCTAGCTGAAGGAGATAATTGAACGTGTAAAAATTCAGAATTGTGTTAAACAAAAGAAATTCAAGAGAAGTGTAAAAAGATTATAAGGGCATAAAGGTTGAGAGTACTATATTAGCAGGGAAAGGGAAAATAAAAAAAATAACCTGATGATGTGGATTCCCACTTGATGGCCAAATTGATGCAGCTTGCATGTAGTAACTTGAAGCAGCTGCATACTCACGAGATTTAGAGTCGCCATCTCCGTATAATCCTTTGTACCGCGCTAGGTCTCCCAAGTATATCAAGCAACGGTGAAAAGACACCAAACCCATTTTTATATCAGCAGATTTCTTCCCATCTTTGTCTACAACAACTTGGCTTTCTGAATCATCAGAAAAATACCCAAATGGTAGTCCATACTTTGCTCTGATTTTCAAAACCAGATCATGATAAAATCCCGTTGCCTCTGAAAGGAAAGTCTTAAACTGCAGTCTTATTTTTGTAATCCTGTCAGGTCGTGGAGGAACTTTCACACCCTGACATGTGTTCGATCCTGAAGAAGCTAGAGCACTAAAATGTGCCCTTAGTTCCTCAATCCGCTTGTAATGCAACTGCCACAAAGCATACTCAATATTGTTCTGCTCAGAAAAAGCATGGTCCTCAAGAATTATTGCCTCATAGTTCTCACGCATCTGCTGCCAGGCATTGGGATCCGAAGGTACCCGTGCCTGAGATGCTCTCCTACGATTATTTTCCAGCTCCATGTTCTGCAGAGAGCACCAAATATTAATTTCCATGTTCAGAAACTATAAGTAAACCTCTATCTTAAAGAAGAAAAAGAATACCTTCTCATAAAGATGCTCCGCATGCTCCCTGGATGAAGGAGCAGAAGTTTTATCAATCGGCACTATCATCTTACATGTAAACTGCTTCGTCAAAATGAAATAAACCTACAGATATTACACATCATAATCAACAAAATATAGGTCATGTATCATTTGATAAAGTGAGTTCTTACAAAGAAAATGCAGGGAACGACGCTTATCATCTAAAAACTGAACCACTATGTTAGTCAATATGTAACATAACCAAGTAAATAGTACAACCCCTATAGGCAGATTAAAAAGATGCTCATAGTTAAATTTCCAAGATTCAAGATATGAAAAAGAAAACAATCTCAGTGCCCACGTAAATGTAAATAAATCTATATAGCCATTAACTGAAACCCTATTATCAAGATAACCAAAATCATCAAAGACTGGCATCAACTCTCACAGAATGCAACAAGAATACATTAGATCAATGGAACCCTCGCCAGAATAAAACTCTCACAAAATGCAAAAATGCTCTAAAAAGAACAATTTAAAACCGTAATTCATATTTCAGAATGACTTCCTCCCCAATTTTCAGCTCTCAAATGGAAGCTTCATTCTGTCCCAAAACATCCGCAGGTATAAAACTCTTCCCATGCCATTTATTGCTTATCCTCAGCTGATTACTTGAACAATACTTGAAATTACTGTAAAATCTCTGGAAAAGATCCTAAGACTAATATTAACCCCAGATATGCCTACCAAACTTCGACGCTGTATCGGTTGTAGCAAATAATTATAGCTCAAAATTTGTAAAACCTAATATAATATTTACATTTTTTAATAACATCAATTTTTTAAAAAGGAAAAAAATAAGAACTAAGAGAAAAAGAATGAAAACCAACTCATCTCTTATCATCTCAAATCAAATTCAAACATGTTTTCTTCCATTTTCTCTTTCAATTCCTTCTAGGAAATAATAAGAAAAATACATTAAACATACAAAAAAAAATTGATTTCATTACCCGAAAAGACAAAAGCAAAAGAGTATCAGACCTGAAGTTAACAAGGAGATGATTACAATAACATCAACCACAATCCCCCAAAGTCACCGAACAAATATATCAAATCGGGAAAAATCAAAATTGAAAATAAAAAGGAAAAAGGAACTCACTTGATGTAGATCGGATCTGAAGAGAAACCTGGAATTAAAGCATGGGATACGAATTTTGAGATAAATAAATAGGCATTGCTTAGGGTCTGGTCGTTTGAGAGACGTGTTTTGGTTTTGGTAGAATTAGAGATGACCTTAAATTTTCGATTTTTCAATGTATTTCCTTTTTCTTTTATGACTTTATATTTTATTTATTTTGAAATTCGATTTAGATCCCTATGAGGAGAAGACTAAGGGCGGCTCTTGTAAACGGCAACGCTTTAATAGCTGCGGCGGTACTGCTTATTTTCCAGAACCATCATTGGGAATACTAGTTCCAGAATTAAGTCCGTGTTTTAATATTTTTATATTTATAATCAGTAATAAATTACTATTTTATAAAATAATATGAAAATAAATTTTATTATAAATAGTTTATGTTTGTATTATAAATTTTCGATACTATGAAATAAAATTAATTAAATTGTTAAACATAATTAAATATATTAGCAATTTTAATAATTAAAATAATATAATAATATATTTTTTTAGAGAAAATGATATAATAATATTTTAAATTATAATTAAAGTTTCAATAATAGAAATAATGAATGTCGAACAATTTTTATATTTTTCCTACTTTTTATTAAAATTCTTGAACATGAGATGTTTATTGATACGAGTTTATATAAGATTGAAAGTGTTTAGTGTAATTTAATATTATTTATTAATAGATTTAGATTAATTAAAATTATATTTATTATTTTATATTATAGAGTTATTTGCACAATATGTCCTCAAAGTATAACTCTCATTTTAAATTGATCCTTAAACTTTTGAATATTCCAATTTCATCCCCAAATTCATCAAAATATGTAATTAGTTTCAAACGTAATTTAACCTAATTTTTTTTCAAACATATAATAATATAACTTGGCCGAACGAATTTATTAACAAGGGGTGTGATTAGTATATACATATAGTTTGAGATTAAATTAGAATGTTCAAAAAGTTTGGGACCAATTTAGAAGGAAGATCCTAATTTTGGAATGAAATTAAAATTTTCAAAAGTTTAAGAACTAATTTAGAAAGATAGTCATAGTTTAAGGATGAAATTGAAACATTTAAAATTTTAAGAATCAACTTAAAATGAAGGTCATACTTTGAGGACATATAATGTAATTATCTCTATATTATGATTATAGTTAAGGTAAAAATTGGTAATTGCAACAAAGAATGTATTACTATCATTAAAAGAGGCGAATTCATAACTATTTGAGCAAGTGTCCACTATAAAATTTAAGTTTTCTTCAATTAAATATTTATTTTACTAATAAATACTTTTAAAATATTTTTGAGTTCATCACTGTCATTCAAAATTTGTAATATTATAATCCAACAAATAATGTATACTGACATCATTGCTTTTGAATCACGTAAACCAACATGCACCTATAAAACCTCGTGCATGTCGTTCATCTTCTCACAATTCACAAATATCCAAATTAAAACTCCAATTTCAAGCATCCCTTCACCAATAAGAGATCTGAGATTCCCCATTTGTTTTTCCTTACGTGACAGTAACTTATGAGGCAAACATGAATTGTATGGGGAAATTTCTTACAAGCTCAACTGACAGGGACCGAAACGGGTCCCAACATATTCTTACTATTGTTGGGAATCCATACTAGTAATGGGGAGTGATTAAGTTATTGTTGCTGAATCAAAAATCAATTGAATGTGTGTGTGTATCTGATGAAAAGTACAGTTGATAAATCAATTTTGGGTTCAACCTGTTAGAGTTTGACCAGTAACTGTTGTGTGGTGGAAACTGGAAAGTTCCGGGATAAATTGAGAGATAAAAACATTAATAGGCAAGCAAGTGACAAGTTCAATAGAGAGCCTAAGAATATGACGATTGTCGTTTTGATGTCAAAATAAATTCTTTTTTCTCGATTAATAAATAAAGGAAATATGTATTAAAGAGAAGCAATGGTCAATCCACATAGACATAGAGGTTTTGGTAAAACTGATTAAATAATAAAAAACTATTTAAAGTAAAAATAAAGAAAATAAAGAATGTAAAGTTGAAAATGAATATGGTAAAAACATCATCAAGCCTCGCTTTGACTCAATTTCCTTCGAATCATCGAATTAGATTTTTTCTTTGGGATTCACGTCAATTACTTTGTCTACAAGGGCAATCCTTGTGACTCTACTTTGTATACTGAATACCCAAGGCAATCTTTGATTCCGGCTTCGGAAATTGATCTGATTAACATCAATTGTCGTAGATCAATAACCGTTTAAGTTCGTGAAGACCGACTCAAATTGTTGTTTCAATAACTACTAATTTCGATCTCAATTCCCTCTTAGCGAGACAATCTAACCAAGAGTGTTCTCAAGAAGTCGAATGTGCTTTCAATAAGCCGATCATTCATCCCACACATTTAATTGCAACAACATATTGATCAAAGTCAATCTTTAATTTTGAAAATTGCTTTGATTTTGAAAATAAGCGCATAAATTGATAGAGATATTCCGAAGTTATTCAAGTGTTTTTTAATTCTCACGTTGGAATTGAGTCATCGCTTGCCCTTGGCTTATGAGAAAATTAGCTAAGCATGACAAAAGTCATACTTAGCATGTTTAAAAATAAAACTTAAAATAAAATAAAAATGAAAATGAAAACTTAAAAAGAAAAGAAAAGATAGAACTTTATAAAACTAGAAATAAGAAGAAGAATGAAATATGAGTTGTGTTTAGGCTTACCCCAAGAGAGTATTTAGAGCCTTTAAAATCCTAGAGATAAACATATAAATTAAAAGAAATATAACCCTAAAGATAATTCCAAATGTTTTTCTATGTTTTTCCAAATTCAAACTTTAAAAATAAAAATAAATCTCCTAAGATATCTATGGCCGTCCAAATTCCAAAAGATGCTGACTAGATATTCTAGAAAACTGTTGTTGACTGGACCTTCTAGAAACTGTCACGTCATACTGTGTCATACCCAGAGTCCTGACCATGTTTCCAGTCATGACCAAATAATAATAAAAATGCAGAATGCACCCTTTTTACTGTTAATTCTGGAAAGTAAGATCCTGCACGAAAATAAGTATAATACAACTAAATCAATGGCAATAAATCCATAAGATCGAAGATTTAACAAGCAAATATTATCGATTTAGAACACTCATCAAATTCCCCCTCACTTATCTCATGCTTGTCCTCAATTATGATATAATCAAATCAATTAAAAATTACATTTACTTTTCTTTGTCAAGTCCTACATTTGATAAAGCAAGGTAGAGACCACAATAATCATCCAAATCAAGACACCAATCAATTGAACATCATCAATTAGAACAAGTTAAATACAATTGTAACATCCATTCATTCATCAATCTTAATTCCACATAACTCAACGCCTCACCTGAAGTCACTCAAAGCACTCGATGTGTTTGGGGGTATAGAAACGCTCAATGTCAAAACCGACATGATATCACCATAGGCATGCAATTAAATCAAATCTTCATTACTAGTAAGAACAAAATGCATAAATCAAAGGGTCTTTTATTGGTTGTAACGGAGCTTAGGTAAAGGTGATAATAGGGTTAAATATATGGCTAAAAATTCAAGACAATGAACTACAAATAATAAGTAATACTCCATCAATCGACTAAGTACAACAAGCTAAAAGACACAATACCATCAAACAACACATTTCCTTTCGAAATGAATTTGATTTTTCCGCACTTGTGTTGTTGCTTTATTTTTCCATTTTTTTCTCATGTCTCTTTATGTTTTATTTTATTTTTTTCCTTTTTTTATTTTCGAATTGATATTTTTGTCTCTTTTTTCCGAAAAAAATGAAAGAATAACCTTTTTCCACTTTTGCACATCATACCATACAAAAAATTCTTCTGTTCAAGAAGCATACACTAGATAAATTGTTCACTTGTCCTAAAAAGAGTATAAAAGAGGAATGAAATAAAAAGGCTTGAGTTTATGAATATGGTGAAAACAAAGAATGGAAATAGGCTCAAGAGTGGTTAACTAGGGGAAAATGCATGGGTAGGCAATTTAGTGGGGAAAACGGAATGGTTAATCCTAAGGTTCCCAAATCACTTTTAAGCATCATGTTCATGTGTAATCTCGACAGTATTTAAAATGCAGGTTCTAGAATACCAATGTCAAATTCGACACACTCAATCCAACAAAATGAGAGCAAAATGATATACTCGTAAAGGCTCAAATATCACCAAATTGTTTTCATGCATTGAGCTAAGCACATTTAAACCAACAAAATCATGGAATATCATAAGAAATCTAACTTGATCACAATTCATGCTATCCGCTATCAAGAATATCTTAACCTAAACAATTATGTGTTCCCAAACAAGCATGATATACCAAAAATATTCAACAAGACAAAGAAATTAAATAGAACATTTCGTAAATCCAATCAACACATACTATCATCAAAATATAGAGATAAGCAAAGGAAAATTCAACCTAGACTCTATTTCCCCTCACTTAAGTCGTTTTGTCCCAAAACATAAAATTAAAGTACGAGAGAAAGAATAGAGAACTCCCCAAATTTATTGTCGACCACAGCCACGGCTGCGGTGAGAGGAGGTGGGACGAAAATATGAAATAATTTTAGCAATGTTCATCTCAATGGTGTTGAGACGATTATAGACTTCATCCATTTGTGTTTACACGTCCGGGCGAGGTGCTGCAGGTGGCGGTTGTGGCACATTGCGACGAACAAAAACTTGCTCGCTGCGATGAGTAAGGACACTAGGTGGAACAAAGTATGGTACGCTCAAGGTTCCAGCTAGTAAGCTCATCGAGTCCAAACATCGCTCATCCAAGGCATATGTAGAAAAAGTATAAGTAAACCTGGTAACATCAAAATTAGCGATTCAAAAAGCTAAATGAGTAATATAAGAGCCAAGGATAAGCGGGTGATTGGACCGAATAACGATCTCAAAAGCCCAAGCAAACAAAAACATAAGTTCACCCGTTGGCCGGCTGAAATACACCATAAAAAGAAAAGTTCAACTCGACACAAGGAAGAAGACGAGTCATTTCTACCAGAGTAATTGTAGGCGATGAAGCGATATA